AGTTAAAGGTGTTTTTTAGATTGAAGGATTTTGACATTTTATTGTACTGTTTAGTAGAAATTTTGGAAAAAGAGCATTTATTTATAGTCAATTTATTAATCAATTTTGATCCTCTAATTGTATTTGTATTTGTAAATTATTTACAAGTTTAATAAAAAAATCTTTAAAAAAATGTGTTTCGCTGATTTGATTGAACATTAGAATTGATTATATTAATACAATTTCAGCGTATTGATCGTGTCTTGTATTTCTATGTCTCTCTTATGTGTTCCCTTGTGTGTATGTTTTCTTGTATTTCACGTGTCTGCAGCGCTGGTTTATCGACCCGGCACATAAAGCAAACCCACTGTCCTCGTGTTTCTTAGCTCCCGTCTTGTTTGCAAACTTTTCTCCTGTGTTTTTTTTACTTTGTCAATAAAACGTGGTTGCCGTGACAACGGAGCTGTAAAAGTTGTTGCGATCTGATCTCCAGGGGGTAAGTAAGTATCCCAGGAAACCGGACCTTAAAGATAAGTAGACCTTATCTTTATTTGCTTGTATAATGTACCCCGGTGATCTGTGATGTACTCTTGGGTGCATTGAATAGCATTTTTACTATTTGTTAAAGCAGAGAAAACACAATAATGTCGAATTAATCAGGAACGTGAGGTGACTCGCCAGTAAACAAACTCTCCAGCGACGTCTGGATTTCAATAACTCTCTGCCCTGCAATACGGTTTTCCAGGAGTCCGCAGTGCTTAACGAGCAGAGAGCGGAACCACAGCATCCTGAGCCGTGGCTCCACACCGACCTCGGGCGACGGACCGGCTGTCGCGCTAATCACGCATCAGATCCGGATACGTCTCCGTTAAGTGACGTAAATGAGCGGCGCAGGGCTTGTCCAATCAGCGCCGTTGGCTGGAATAGGCGGGATTTCCTTTAAGTTTGGGTGAGTGACACCGTTCTTAGCCAATCACCACGGCCTTCCGTGTTCTTCCACGGAAATACCGCCCTCAAGTTGAGTGACTCGGCTCAGAACCAATCAGCACCGAGATTTCGGCAGGAGGCGGGGCAGATACGGCTTTCGTCCAATCACAATTTCAATTCCGGGACTTTACCTAATTACGGCGGGCGGTGACACTTCCGAGAAATGTCCACTGGGCGGCGACAGAGATACACGACTCTATGGCGGTGAGTCTCAAAGCGCTGTCGAAGACTTGTTGTGCAGATATTTTTTTTTTCAGAAGTGTAAATATATTATACTATGTACCCCTGATGACATTATTGATTTGCTATATATACTCTTGTTTTGTGTCGTATCTATTTTTATTGCTACATGAGTTAAAAAAGAACTGCACTTCTGAGAAATGTCCACTGGGCGGCGACAGAGATACACGAGTCTAGGCGGCGAATCTTAAAGCGCCTCCTTACAGATCCTCGTTGTGCTGAGATTGAAAATCAAAACATGGTAACTGTGACTTTTCTGACAGCAACTCTGAAAGCTAAAGTAAAGAAGGAAACTAATATTGACATTACTTTTAAAGAAGTAAAATAATGCTACATTTAAACCCATATGAAAATATCATTTGTATTTTAAAAAATATTATACTTCCACGATATAATAATTAACGAAATGCTGTGAGAGGAGACCCATGTTTGAACACTTTAAAACGGATGTAAATGCGTCTGTACAGACAATTTGAAACATGTACGGACCTTATCTGCTTTTGTTTACTATTAAACAAGATTACTTGTTTAATCTTTTTGCATAACATGTACATGTATTATTGTATGTACCCCTGACTATACTCTGTTATATGTATTCTTGTTTTTATGGCATGTATTGTTGTTATAATTAAAAAGAAAAAAGACGCGAATCGATTACGTCATAAGGAAGTCGCCCACAGGGCTTGTGGGAAATGTAGTCTCCCTAGTGCTCTATAGAGCCTACAGAACACGTGCGCTGCCCACGCGTTCCGCAGATTTGATTGAGCATCAGAATTAATTATACAATTTCAGCGTATTTGTCGTGTCGCGGATTTCTATGGCAGGAGCTGTTTCTTGCTCTCCGGAGTGAAACTGCTCTGGGAAGAGACGAGCAAATCTTCAGACTCTTTGTAAATGAGACATCATGACAGCTGTGCCGACCTGCTCTTTATTGACCTGTTGAACCTGTTTG